GAATGTATTTTATACGATAGAAGTACTAGAACATTTTCTGAGAAAGATACAACTGACGATTGAAAGTTACAGATATCATTGTAAATTATTTTTACGCTATGCACCAGTAAAACTTTTCGATTTGATTTCTATCGTACTCTATAGTTATCCAACTCACAATCCGTATTATTCACGACAAGAGGAGTCCATCCATTTTCTTCTTTTCTATTTTTCCCAGTCGTTTCCTATTCGATCGATAACTATCATGTTCGGTCGTCTTCTAAAAATATGCTATATAACACAGATCCTTTTTATTATTTATTATTTATCTTTGATTGGTCCACTATACGATCGAATAATTTATATCAACTATAGAATATTTTATATATATAAAATAATTTATATATAAATGAGGTAAAACTGAGGCTGGTAAAATTAATTTAACTCTTGATCGATACAGAAAGTTTCTGAGTTTTCATGCAACGTTCGTATTTTGTAGATGAAGGTGTGTACAACACGTACGTGCTGGATTCGGACTACAAGTCGTGGGCTTTACTAATGCATTGCGCGGAACAAAGCAAAAGTCCTCGATATTTATCGAGCTTCATCATGAGCCGAGAACCGAGTCTCGGAGCTAACGTTATTTCTTACCTCCGCGAGAAATTGCCCAGGTGAGTAACGACATGGTTTTATTTCCTTTGAACACGTATAACTGATGACTGGGCCTATGTGAGAATTTAATTAATACAGCGAACGTCTAACACCGTACCTCCAGGCTCATGAAATATTCATTCTACTAGAATTCAGGATTCATGTGCACAACATTTTGAAAGGCTCCGGGGGATTTATTCGGTTGTTTTATCACGCGTATTTATTATTTATAAAGTAATTATATTGCAGACGTTTAAATATTGGGAAAGTTTATTATGTCGCATGATAAATACGAATTCTTAGAATTAAACTCGGAGTACGGCGATAGAATAAAATCAAATTCAATGATATTAGGTTTATCAATTAAATCTATCTTTCATTTCAACACTAGAACTATCGACAATTAAAGCATAGAATTTCCAGCAAAGACATTCAAGTAAAAGAAAGAAAAAGAAAATAGAAAACTCGGAGCACAGCGATAGAATAAAATCAAATTCAATGATATTAGGTTTATCAATTAAATCTATCTTTCATTTCAACACTAGAATTATCGACAATTAAAGCATAGAATTTCAAAGACATTCAAGTAAAAGAAAGAAAAAAAAAATAGAAAACTCGGAGCACAGCGATAGAATAAAATCAAATTCAATGATATTAGGTTTATCAATTAAATCTATCTTTCATTTCAACACTAGAACTATCGACAATTAAAGCATAGAATTTCCAGCAAAGACATTCAAGTAAAAGAAAGAAAAAGAAAATAGAAAAATGTTTATAATACAACAGAGTATACAAGGTTTTATTTAATACATTCTACGAAAAATCATTTAGATTCCTGAAAGCATGTACAAAATTTCTAATAAAGATTACAAATTAATCACTTTGACTACTTTATAGTGGTAGTTCTAGTGTTAAAGAAATCTTTCAATGTCTGATTAAATTAATTTTCTTTTACAAAGATATGATATCGATCTGGAGTACATGTTTCCCATGGACCAGAATCAATGTAACAAGACAGAGACTTCCGAAATGGACTTGCTGCTTCCACCATCGATAGTACTCAGAACGAACAACGTGACACGAAAACACCCACTGAAAAGGAAGCATCGACGTGCTTGAATTTAATATGCGATTCTTGTCCAAATAGGTTTTATGATACGACTAGTAGTGTGAGTATGGTGCATTTTTCATTGGGACTACCATCTTAGCTCAAATGTTGCTTAAATTATAATAATAGATAATGACGATTGAAAATGGAGGATGAAAGATAGACGCAATTGAATTCCTCTGGAACTGTGAATAATTATACAAAAATATGCAACATTGAACTTTCTCTTTTGAACGATCACGGTATTAGGTTCATTAAAATATTAAATACGTGTATTTTTTTGAACACTAAACAGATCAATGATAACGAAATAATAAACAGATAGACTCGAGATTAAGTTATCGTTAACCGTACTTATCTAATGAACTTCTGTGATGTGAGTGTATATCTCGTAAATTTGTTAAAATTTTATATATTTATACAAATAAAGGTTTCATTTCTCTTAAAAATAAATTATATCATACTTGCAAGGATTGAAATCGATCTAATTGAATTGCCATTATTAACTCATCATTACGTAATTATAAAAGTACATTGTGAAGTACAGCAAATACGAAAACGTTGAAAGAATTGAAACTACAAAGAAGGTATCAATTTTAAAGAATAAATAAACACACGATTAAATGAAATTAGTCTCTTGGTATTTCATTTTCATTGCACGATTGAGAGGCCGGCAAAAAAGGGTAATGAAACAGCAGCTGCTTAGACACTTTGGGCTAGTTTTATTAATTCAATTAACAACGTGTTATAATACTCTTCGTCTCTTTCTCTTACTTATAATTACATAATTGTAATGAACTGTTATTGTTTTCTTTAGACCCGTCATCTTTCAACATCTTAGCGTAACTCATCCAAAGTCGCGGACACACACTTGCAGGAGCACGTAGGATCATTATGATCATCATCATCATCATCATCATCATCATCATCGTCATCATCATTACCACCGTCATCATCATCACCGTCATCACCATTAGAGTCGTTATCGTAACAGTCGTCATCAGATAATCACCCAGCGCACCTAGTACTTAATTTTACTGGATATGGCAGCTACAACTTATAAGAAATATTACAAAATCACTGAAGATTCGTTCTTCTTGCGTTTCGATAGTTTCTCACTCACACACAAACGATCATACCAACACGAGCTTTCCTAGAAGTTTCACGCGACGTTTCCTCTTTTATTCTCCGTCATTCCCCCCTCCCCCCACCCTTTTTTTCCCGTTTATTTTTTCTTCTTTGTCGACGATTTCAGACTTGTCTTCGTGTATTTGGTGGGCTTTCCGCTCGAAGAAATGACATTTCTTCGCTAGGTATTGATAGAACGATAAGAGCGTGCACGGTGTTTTTCTTCTTTTTTTATACAACTCCACCATCGAAATATCGCGTTCAATGAAGAATAATTACACGCTCGATAGCTAATGTCGTGCGTCGAATAGGAAGAACGTAGTAAACCCTAGTAGTACGTGTACGCGTGTTGTACGTGTTTGCAATTGTTATGTATGTATACATGTATTTAAGTATGTTTCTTCATCTCCTTTTTTTTGTTTCTGTTCGGTATGTATGTGCTGTTTGCATGTGTTTACGTGTGCGTATGTTCCTTTTGAGATCTTTTATAAATAGTTGAGCTGTAATTGAACAAGTTCTGAACAAAGCCGCGTGAGGATCGATCACAACGCAGATCGCGAATGCAAGAGATTCACACCATACCCGTACGTACACGCATTCATTCCTTCGCTCTACGGGCTGCATATGCAAATTCTCTATTAGTCTTCTAGTAATTTAGTATTAATTAGTTACACAATTAATTTATTTAATCGCTTTTAATTAATTAACTAGTCGTTAAATTTGTTTCTCGTGAATCCGCGTTACTTGTCCGTGTACGTATTAGTGTTATTTTGTCCATGTGTACTTTTTTTTCTGTATATAATATATATATATATATATTATTTTTTTTCATATATATGTATATATTGCGTGTAACATGTTTGCATTATGTATATGTAAACGTCGCGTTATGTTTATGTAAGCGTCTACGTGTATCTCGTGTATGCACGTGTCACCGTGTGTGTACGTATTCTAGACTTTTGTATCCTTTATTCTTATATCTCTTTTTTTTTTTTT